AAAATAAAATAAAATAAAATAAAATAAAATAAAATAAAATAAAATAAAATAAAATAAAATAAAATAATAAAATGTCTTTGGGTGGTTTCAAAATCTCATTATAAATTGATTTTTGTTTCTGTGCTTAATTGTTTTCTAACAGCCCCTTTATGTTAAAAGCTAATAGTGTAGACTAGTGGGAAAATAGGTACAATATCAAAAATCATTCCATATAGGAAGTTTTAAAAGGAGTATATTTAACATTCAATGGCTGTATGATAAGGGTGTATCTACTTCCTCTCTATTTTTTCTGAGTTCATGATATTATTAATTTACTTTTACTTCTTACAAACATTTTCAGTGAATGGAGCTGACAGCTGTCTATAAACTAATAACAAATGGGACTGTTTATTAAAGAATACAAAAAGAACCCATGTCATTAGTCTGGCCTCTCTATTCGCTTTCTTTCCATAGCCTCAGTAATGCAAATATCACCAGTAGGTATTATAAAATATGTATTTTCCATAGTTTAAGTAATGACTGAAGGAATTTATTTTTGGTCTCAACTTTTTACATCTGATATTAATTCATTTCTGATTATCTAATTCCAAGTGGTCAAAAAATCTACTCTTCCGCTTTTTTTTCCTAGGTTCAATTGAACCTAGAAAATGATGTAGCTCAAGTGATCCAACCTTCAATGATGAGTCTATTATTTTAAATGAATTTGACTTGCATTCATTCCTTCTTGTGAATAAAATGCACAGTAGCAGTATGTCTCAGAATTGTGCCTCATATTATTTATTTATGTATTTATTTATTTATGTATTTATTTATTTATTCAGACAGAGCCTCACTCTGTTGCCCTAGCTAGAGTGCAGTGGCACCATCTTGGCTCACTGCAACTTCTGCCTCCTGGGTTCAAGCGATTCTCCTGCTTCAGCCTCACCAGTAGCAGGGATTACTGGTGCATGCCATCACAACCGACTAGTTTTTATATTTTTAGTAGAGAGGGGGGTTTCAGCATGTTGGCCAGGCTTGTCTGGAACTCCTGACCTCGGGTAATCCACTCGCCTTGGCCTCCCAAAGTGCTGGGTTTATAGGCGTGAGCTACCGCACACATCCTCATATCTTATTATTGACTCTATATTTGCCAGCCTTCCTACATGTGCTTTGTTGGCTCGCTACATGGCTTTAATATCATCTTAATGTATACTAAGTACCATCACTCTACAGTCAAAGATAGCATACCTATCTATATGTTCCCAAAGTCTTGCAGGTAGGAACTGTACACCTTACTCAGCAAAGGCTGTAATATGCCCCAGAAACTACTGAGCCATGGACTCTTTATATTTTCTGCTAGTCTCAGAATTACATTCATATACTGTGTGTTGCACAATGACCATTGTAATGTGGTATTAACCCTTTGAGATAGCTCGTTGCTTTGTGTGTAACTTCGCATCACACATATGTATCTGAAAACTGACTAGAGAGTATGAACCCCATTGGACAATGCATTTATATACCACACTAAATATTTATTTTCAGAAGTGCTTGAGGATATTTTCCTTCAGCTCAAACTTGTGTGAAATTTGCATATGCTCAAAACTAACCTGTCCCAACTGTAAATGACAAAGCTAAATCCTTGTCAAGCCAAAAGAAGGATGATAGGATTTGGGATAAGATCAAAATTAACACATTAATAATAAATAGGTTATTTCTAAAGCATGATTCATAAGATGTTTTATGTTTCTAAACATAACAAAAATTTACTTCTGTTCTTCAGTTGTTCTTTTACAATACACATGAAATTTTAAAGTGGAATCATTAAAAATAAGTAAACAAAACACTCTTTGTAAGATGCAATTAGTAAAATATAAAAAAATAATTAATTAGGACAATGACATATAACAGCAAGACTTACAAAGATGGCAAAAGTTATCTTTGATAGACAAGGTAATTTTTATATGATACGCACATCACTGGCTGTTGAGAAACAGATGTAAACTACATGTATAGAAACACAATTTATTTTCTTTTTATGAATCTTACAGCTATATACCTTGTCAATTTTTCTTAATAATGAACCTGCAAATTTGGGTGAGGGGGTTCTCTATGACAATCCATCATGATGTCTTTGGAAACGGTGTGTTTTTATTACTTTTTTCAATCTTCCTAGAATTAATTTATTTTGAAAGTTTTAGTGTGCTTGTTAGAATTACCAAGACAATGTGAAAGAAAAGCTTTGATTGCAGAGATCCTTGCGTTATTCCTAATTTTAAAAGAATTTTCCCAACATTTCCTTATTGATTGATGTTATGCAGTAAGATATTTGCAGGTAATCCTTATCATGACAAAGAAATTCTCTTTGTTTTTTAGTTTTTTAAGATGGTTTTTATATTATGAAGACATGTCAGACTTGAAGAACACTTATTCTGAATCCATCTATCCTGTATTCTCTTTATTGTCTTCACTCCGTTAATGTACTGAATAGTTTTTTTATAGATTTTGTTTGTTCACCTCCCATTGCCAATTCCCAGGATAAATCAACTTTTCATGTTGAATTATCATTTAATATACTGCTAGAGTTGGACATTAATAGTTTATGAAAAATATTGGGAGCTTTGTTGATGAAGAAATTCACTATACCTATCTGATAATATTCCCATTATCTTTTGGTATGTAGATGACATGGCTTCACTGAATGAGATAGAAGATATTCTTTTATAAATTACTTTAAAATATTTGGATACTATTAGAATGATATACTCTAGGAAAGCCTTACAGACCTTTATATTGGCAATCACTGGGTCTGGTGTTTTTCTTGTAGTTTGATAAGAAATATTTTAATTATTTCAATTTTATAGGGGTATTCAGATTTTTGTGATTCAGATACAGGTTATATTTTTTCTAAGAATTCTGGTATTCCAGCAAAATCTTCAAGTTATTACTATAATAAAGTACTCTCATTTTTAAATGCAGTTATTTTTGCTTTAGCATTACTAATATTATTTTTACGTGTGTCTGTTTTTTTTTTTTTTTTTTCTTGATCAATCTGGCCAGAGATTTTTCTCTCTTATTTTATTTTTTTTCAAAGAACAAACTTTGCACTTATTGTTTTCCCCATGTTATGCTATTTTTTCCAATTTCACTGTTGTCTAATATTATCTGTACTATCTCCTTTATACATTTTCTTTCTGGGCTGAATATTTTCAGTGTCTTTAGGTTTATCATTCAGTATAATTATTATTTCTTTGAAAATAAAATATTAAAGTACAATAAATTTATTTTTTCTAGAAATTTAGTTCTTAATTAATATTTGTCTTTTTGTACCTAATAGTCCTTGTCAATTGGTGAATTTTGTGATAGTATTCTGTATTCTGTTTAAATTACATACAGAGTTGTATGTGCTGTATCTGTAGCTAGAGCTCCTGAGGAGTCTCAATATTATTTTCATTTTTTTTTTCTATTTTATTCTTATTTATGTATTTATTTATTTAATCTTTTACTTTAAGTTGAGGGTACAAGTGCAAGTTTGTTACGTAGGAAAATTTGTCTCATATGATTTTGTTGTACAGATTATTTAATCATCCAGTTATCTAGCCTAGTACCCATTAGTTATTTTTCCTGATCCTCTCCATCCTCCCACTTCCACCCTCCAAAACACCCCAGTGCATGTTGTTCCCCCTGTGTGTCCTGTGTTCTCACCATTTAGCTCTGACAAGAGAGTGTGGCAATTCCTCAAACACCTAAAGACAGAAATAGCATTCAACACAGCAATCCCATTACTGGGTATACACCCAGTAAAATATAAATTATTCAGCTTTAAAACACATGCACTTGTATGTTCATTGCGGCACTATTTATAATACCAAAGGCAGTGAATCAACCTAACTATCCATCAATAGTATTTTCATTGATTCTAAATCATAGGGACTTTGCTTTCTCATGTGTTTTGTCATATCAATTAGCCTGTATTAGTAAGTCTATACATTTATTCTTTTAAACCATAAACAAGTCATATTATGCACATGTTACAGTCTGTCAAGATCATCTTCAACTATGAGTTTCTCTTGCAGAGTACTAAAGTTTTTGACATCTGGATTTTGATAAAAATAAACAGCAAGAGTAAGGGCTAGGGCATCTGAAGAATAACATCAGTTCCTTCATCTTATTTTGTTGTTTATGGTAACTCATGAAATTTGCTCTTCATAAATTACCTCAGACTTTTCAGAGTTGATAGCAAAGCAGTATTCCTCTAAGAAAGGCCAATAGGGGTCCTATATGTGAGTGTGTGAGGAGACTTAAATATAAGAGTGTTAATAAATGTCCAGAGTTATTATTTGAAAACCATAGGAATTATTAAATATCTATGTGATTTTCTACAATCATATATTAGAAAGAAGGCTAATAATTCAACTATTAATTTTATAACTTGTATCAGTTTTATTTTTAGAAGAAAATAAATATTTATTGATATGCATCACATTTATTCTATTTCATCTCTACTTGGCAATATTTGGTATTTATTTATTTATTACTTATGAGGGTGACAGTCATGTCCCAGTGGAGATACACAGTGAAATAAAACATTAACCTCTGAGGCTCTCCTGGTGTGAAATTCTGACCTCAAACTATCTATTCAAATAGGCAACTGCTACAACTGGAATGACTAGATAAATTCACAAGAGAATAAATCTTGTTTCAGGTCAAAGAACAGAAAAAATATTTAAAGAAAAGAACTAACCTTCATAATATATGTGCAAACAGGTGATATTTGTTGACTGTGTTTGTGTGTGTGTGTGTGTGTGTGTGTGTGTGTAACTTCAGGATGAATAAGGCAGATGAAATATTTAAATGTAGACATGTTGAAAGCCGATATAATTTATTCCAGTGAAATAACAGATTGTTAACATAATGCAATTATTTCTTACAGTAAAATATTTATTAAAATATATCATCTTCTAATATGATTAGTGTATTTCCCCAAAGTTAATTCTGTATTGGAACATTTCAAAATATAACTTTGACTAATTTAATTGGAGCAGAAGAACAGTGCGTGCACCTACATTAAATTGACATTAAACGGAAATAGCAAGAGCAATGCCTAATAGTATGTGCCTCTAATCCACTGAAGGCCTGACCCTAATGGCCAAAAGCACTTCAATTAAGTTTCATTGCTCTTCATTACATTTTCTCAATATATGTGTCTGATGTGATTGTTTCTGCTCTCACAAGACACAGGAACTTTTGATAAGGGCTAGGGGTAACTTTGTTTTTTATGTAATTTAATTCTAATGGGAAATGTCTCTACGGTTTTTAGAGTTCCACTATTCAGTGGTATTTTATCTTTCTCTTTGGGTTATTACTGCTTTCTAATCTTGCTTAGAATATGTAATTAATTTAATTGTTTTTTTTCTCTCTATGCTCTATGTCCTTCTATAATACAGGATTGCACAGATTGCCTTTTTGTGACAAAAACAGAGGAAGAAAAATGGCAACAACCAAGATTATTATTATACTTAAATGGTTTCTCACACTTTATGAAGATCTTTATGTAAAAATATTAAGCAGTCCATTTAACAGAGAAGTATGTTTGTTTCACATGTATCAGAAAATGTGAGTCTTAATTAAAATGGATCCTGACGTCAAGTGCTATTGATGAGAAGTTATTATTCTATATGTTATATTTTATATCAGTGTAATGTGATAGGAAGTTTTAAAAGACCTTATGTGTTTCTGCCAGATAGTGATACAGTGATAAAATAGCAGCAGTTAAAAAAAAGAAAACAAAAAAAAAACCCAAAAAAAAAGCAGAATGAATGGTTCATATGAATGATGACGCTAAAAAGAAAAAAAAAATCAGACCCTCAGAATGAAGGTATATCTTGATAAGCAAAGCTGTTAGATGTTATGTGGCAATATCAGATGTCGGGAGACAGAAAGAAAATATTGGTTGCTTCCAAGGGATCTAATATAATGAACATAGTTGATCATGATCCCTTGGTTATAGAATCAAGTTGATAAGACTCTACTAGTGAGTGGAAGTTAGGGGGATCAAGATTTGTTAAGAAAATCTTATGTATTGTTTAGCAAACTATATGTAGAAGAAACTATCAGAGACATAGAGAATTACACAATATTTATAGGTAGACGTAAAACTGCATAAAACTTCATGTAATTGTTGTTATATATACTACTTAGTTTTTCACCAACTAATTTCTTTTAATATTTTATAAAATTATGTTTTTTAAATTCATTTATATTGATATACATAGTTCTAGTTTAGTCACAACGTTTCAGAGTGCATACATATGAAGTAAAACATAAAGAATGTAAAGGGGTAATAAATATAAATTCAGAATTATAAATATCTCTGTGTGGAAGAAGAATACAATCAGTAAAAGTTTGTAGGAATGATTCAACTCTGTTTTAAGTTTTATTTGTTAATAGGGGAGACAGAGAATATTTTAGATTCTTTATTCACTTTATATTCCTAAAATAGCTCAAAATAAATTTAAGCTTTCTCCAAAATGTCTATCAATGTAATTTATAAATTAATGGCAATGCTATACATCATAGTCCATAAAGATAAGAATATATCATGAACATTATAAGGTAGAATTTTAGAAGGAACTGATAGTAGAAGTGAGTATTGAGTATTATTTTTTCCTTCTATCGTGATCAGAGCCCAAATCTCTTTCCACAACAAAATGATCTTCAACTAAAATTTCACATTAATGGATCTTAAATAAGCATTAGTGTAGTATATAGACTTAATTCTTACACCAAAGCTTATTTCACAGTCTCTTATGGTTTTTTCAAGTGCACATATGTTTATTTGTGTAGTCTTTGCAAATCCAAGTGTTTAATGACTATATGTAGATAAGTGTGTACATGTAAACATACATACTTACACATTAAGTTCTATGTGTGTTTAATTTATATCTCCTTCTAAAATATCCATCATTACCTATTGTTTTAACACAATTATCTTCAGTAAATAGAAACACACAGAATAGAATGTCTTTATGTTTTATCGTCCCTGTGAAGACAATAGCATATGAGGTGGCTTTAATATTAGAATATAATACAATTTTTTTTTACTTAGTTGGCATGTTGCAAAGACAATTTATTGTACGGTGGAAACAGCATTTAATCTTAATGAAATCAATGTGGAATTTCTTCTTCCATTATCCATGGCAGTTTGGAAAGTTGTATTCAATTTTCTGTTTTTTATATTTTGAAGCTATGCAAGAAACACTTGAAACTATAATTTTGAAATTCCTTCACGGTGTGAAAATTTTATGGTCATTTATCACTAAAGATGATGTGAAATAAAAAGCATAGCGCTAATAGGAGGTATAAAGATATACTTAGAATGTAGAATTAAGGTAGCATTTTTAATCATCTCTGCTATTCCTACTTATATCATTACTGAATTGAAATTCATGCACTTTATATGCAAAGCTACATTTTTTTTTTGTTAAAATCAAATAAATATACTGTCAAACTCCAACCTTCCAATTTAACATTTGCATGTTTTCTTGATTTTAAATTGTATGATTGAAGGAAACAGAAATGCTTTTATTTTGAAATTTGAGAAACACCATTTAAATAAATTTTACATCTGCCAATTTGCAGTTATATAATCAGAGTTAATTAAGTCAATTAAGAGGTACACTATAAATAAGAGGTGCCTTTATTAAAACCTAGCCTAAATGGAAGAAACAGTTATATATTAGTGTGAAAACCATAGAGAAAATAAATCCATCAGTCCAGGAACTACCTAAGTTAAACTTACTATATTATCAAAAATTTATTCTGCTCTCTTCATAACATTACAGGTGTATGTGGGTACAGTTTCTGAATGTTTAGTATTTTCAAAGTTTCTGGAAAAAAAAATGCACTTAATTGAAATCAGTAAGGAATTTACCATCTGTTTACAGAGCAGCCATATCAAAGCAAAGTGTTGCTCTGTGGTATATGTCCAAATCCCTAAATGAAATGCACAAGGCACACATGCTTACAAACGGGGTTTAAAATAAGAATCTGGCCGGGAGCAGTGGCTCATGCCTGTAATCCCAGCACTTTGGGAGGCTGAGGTGGGTGGATCATCTGAGGTCAGGAGTTCGAGATCAACCGGGCCAACATAATGTAACTCCGTCTCTATGGAAAAAAAAAAAAAAAAAAAAATGCCAGGCGTGGTGGTGGGTGCCTGTAATCCCAGCTACCTGGTAGGCTGAGGCAGGAGAATTGCTTGAATCCGGGAGGTGGAGGTTGCAATGAGCCGAGATCGCGCCATTGCACTCCAGGCTGGGCAACAAGAGTGAAACTCCATCTCAGAAGAAACAAAAACAAAACAAAACAAAACAAAACAAAACAAAACAAAATAAGAAGCCAATTAGTGTGCTCAACATCTCCAAACCTGGTCTGGATGCACATTACTTATAAATAAAGAAGCTGTGGTTTCAAAGACTTAAAAGTGATAATTAAGGGTAATAGCACATGTTTTTGTTAATAATAAGCATGTTAGATAACCACTGACAACTTTTAAGGATCAAAACTCTTCAACGCATTAACTAGAGGTTGGATTTACAATATTTTTCCCTAATTTTAATACTTTATTAAAGTTACTCAGCCTCTTATTTATCTCTATCTAGAGTTATTGAAATGATTAAACTTACTTAAAGCACTGAGTTAATTGTATAAGCAAATATTGTAATCTCAATAAATGATTTCTATCATTTTGTATAATTCTTATTATTATATCATATGATATATTCTGGTTTACGTCATTTATATCATTTAGCGAAAGTAATCAACTATTAAAATTCAGTGAAACTGAAATCTGTGTCAGGCACTCAGCTAAACTCATTTAAACCTTGAAAACGACCTGATGAAATACGCATTATTGTTTTTCCCATCTCAAAGGAGAAGAAATTAAATTTTAGAGATTGTGAGTAAATTTTTCAGGGCCCTGCAGTTAGTAAGCATTGAACCTGCAGTTAAATCCTGAATCTGACAGATCTTAAGTCTTGTTCTCAGAAGGGTTAAATATATTGCCACATAGGTAGAAAATCACTTCAGAAAGTAAGTCATTGAAAAGATCAGTGTTAAACTAATTATTATGTTTTTAGAGGAGCCCTCCCTTATCCAAAAGGGATAAGTTTTGTGACCCCCCCCAGTGGATACCTTAAACCACAGATAGTACTGAACCTAATTGTTGTCAACAGGAATATGTTTATTTTCATGTCTTCCACTCCTTCCATGCCTTTTCCTTCTTAACTAGGAATTTATTATACACTTTGGCCATAACTTTTGCAGTTTGAGGTGAATCAGCAAAACTAACAAAAATTTATTTCTTCTCCTTCACAATTTCACAAATATGTTCTTACCATATATCATAGCAACCTCAGGATATGACCCATTTTACTTAATGGAAATCTTTTATGACTTGTCTTTGGTATATCTGAATTGTCAGCACCACTATGCATACACTTTTAGGATATTATTAAGTAAAATAAGAGTTACTTGAACATAAACACTGTGATACCATGTCAGTTGATCTAATAACTGAGTGACTAACATGTAGGTAGAAAATACACTGAGATTATGACAGAGAAAGGGAGGATTAACATTCCTGAAGGGATGAGTGAGATGGTGTGAGATTTCATAACACTACTTAGAATGGAGTGCAATATAAAACTTATGAATTGTTTATTTCTGGAACTTTCCATTTAATATTTTTGGACTGCTGTTGACCACATGTAACTGAGGAAATAGAAAGCAAGTGTGTCTAGGTTTTAAAATTTCTACTGGGTGGCATCTTCACTAAATGAAAGCTTAAAAATCTTTTCCACCTCTTCATCCCTTCCAATTTTCTCAGCTGTTGAGTTTACAACCATACAAGTGAATCTCCTCAAGAGTCCAAAGCTAGTGCTAAATCCATATGAGCTCAAAACTCAACTTTCACTTATCCTTTGGAATTTTCTATCTTTCTCTAGAATCCTTAGCTCTGCATACCACTGCAAATTCAACTTAGTTTTCCACTTCTGAGGTTCCTTAAAATAACACAGAATTATGCTTATCCAGTGTTTACTTCTCCATATTAGACAAGAATCAAATTGACCTTCAAGTGTGATGGAATGAGCATAGTTATCACTGAGAGGTTTTAGTGTAAATATATACCCGGATCAAATTTTAATATAGTGCATCCAACTGAAATGAATAGAAATTAAATATTTTATTAAAATATATCAACATTCTATTACACATTCCCTTCCTCAATACTGTACTAAACATTTCACATTGTTAAAGATCAAAGTCAATTATATCATTATGTATTACATTTCCCTGGAATAAAAATACTTTTTAACATACAAGCATTTGAAAGAAATAAATTAATGCCATTCTGTTTGACATTATGCTTATGTTTTCAATTTATACTTGGAAGTTTGAAAACAGAGAAATAAATTGTGTGGCTGCTTCACATTAGTGTGAAAACTCCTCTGACACTGTAAAAATAACAACAGCATTAAGTTACTTAAATAATTTGTGGTGCTTGAAGAAAGCTCATTAGCACCTTGTAAATTTTCACATAGCCTGTGTTATAACTTCATTTCCAGAGGAGTTATCATAGCACAAAAACA